GTGTGTGTGTTTCTGTTCGTATGTCTATGTCGGTGTCTGATCTACACACACTGACCTGATGTAGATGTACATGGGCTCGAAGGCCTCCCTCCCGGACGCGGGCTCCAGGCAGCCGGAGCCTTTCCCCCGCAGGAAGACTTTGGCCCCGGTCTCGGCCTGGATGTGCTGCAGGAACGAGCAGCTCGGGCCCTCCACACGCTCCTTCACATTGAAGCCCTGCAGCGCCTGGTCCAGACCCACAAACACCTTATCCTGGACATAGTGCATCTGACACACACACACACACACACACACACAAACCAACGCACACACGCACACACACACAAACACGCACACACACACACACACACAAAACACACCAATACTCATTGTTCAAGGTAATCCAGGTAATGCATCTCAAGATTCTTTAAGGGTGTGTGTGTGTGTGTGTGTGTGTGTGTGTGTGTGTGTGTGTGTGTGTGTCGCTCTCCTTCTGTCAGCGCAGCAGTAGATCACGTCAGTAATTAACCCTCCCGCCGGCCTCCATCAATCCTGAGCCTGGAAGCGCCGCCATCTTCACACTAATTAAATTTACATTCGATTAAGTTTAATGAGGAGGGATTTTAAATACAGTGAGTGTGAGGCTGCGCTGTCACTGCACCGCTGATTCACTACCGCCAGAGCCCTGGGGTCCACACCGTCCCAGCATGCACCTCTGCACTGTCACTCAGCCACAGCGAGGTCACCCGGAGCCCACCGCACACTGCAGCACACACACACACACACACACACACACACACACACACACACACACACACACACACACACACATATATATATATAATATTCCTCAGAGATTTTGCTCCATATTGTCATGATAGCATCACACAGTTGCTGCAGATTTGTCGGCTGCACATCCATGATGCCAATCTCCCGTTCCACCACATCCCAAAGCTGCTCTATTGGATTGAGCTCTGGTGACTGTGGAGGCCATTTGAGTACAGTGATCTCATCGTCATGTTCAAGAAACCAGTCTGAGATGATTGAGCTTTATGACATGCTGCGTTATCCTGTCAGAAGATGGAGACACTGTGCTCATAAAGGGATGGACATGGTCAGCAGCAATACTCAGGTAGGCTTTCTATCAGCTGGAACCAGTCTGGCCATTCTCCTCTGACCTCTGACCTCATCAACAAGGCATTTGCGCCCACAGAACTGCCGCTCACTGGAGATTTCCTCTTTGTCGGAGCATTCTCTGTAAACCCTAGAGATGGTTGTGCGTGAAAATCCCAGTAGATCAGCAGTTTCTGAAATACTCAGAGCAGCCCGTCTGGCAGCAACAACCATGCCACATTCAAAGTCTCTTAAATCAGTATTTCCCAACAGGGGGGTCCCGGCCCATAAAGGGGTCTCAGTGAGCTCTGTAGTGGGTCGTGTAATATTTTTAAAAATGTGGACAATTCGGAGAATGATCATGTCGCCTCAGTTCACTTTGTCCCCTGGCTGACCAAAAAATGGACGAATTCGTAATTGGAGTCTCACCGACTCTCCTTCAGCAGCTAATACTAATCACTCAAGCATACTGGACCCAGGTAAGGAAGCACCAAACATTTCGGGTCACAGCACAAGCAATACTGGAAACCTGAAATGCAGGAAGTACCAAGACAGTCACCTGAACTAAAGTTTTATTCTGTTTTCTCAAAGCGAAGAGTCCCTGATTCAGCCACAGTGCATTATCTGCAGCAAAGTTCTAGCTAACCAATGCATGAAGCCGTCCAAATTAATCAGACATTTACAGACGACTCATCCCTAATACAGACACCCAAAGTGAGATGAGGGACGTCACAGCTACTGACAAGAAACCTTTATATGCATCTTGCCCTGTTAAAGATCTCTCCACACCTTGACCTTATTCACGGACAGCAGCAATCCTCACACTGATGGATGGAGCAAACAAATCACATGCAAGTAGTAAACGGTGATAGCCTATATTATTTTCCCTTATACACCAGTGTTTTGGATATTGAACTTCATATAGGGCCAGGTTAAAGGCCAAAGGCTTGTGTTTTCCAGTTATGAATGGCCTGCTGATGTTTGGCTTTTATATTGTACATTACACTGTTACTTGTATATATACATAAGCATATCTAGATATAGTATAAACAGGTCTCAGGTTGGGAACCACTGACTTAAATCCCCTTCTTTCCCCATTCGGATGCTCGATTTCAGCTGCAGCAGGTTGTTTTGACCGTGGCTGTTTCTCTTCAGCGGTCTTGCATCCTCGTGTTACGTCATCATCAGCTGCCAAAGTTCAGTTCCAATACTCCAGACCGCAAGAACAGAGGATGCGTAAAAGATCCCGGATGTGTTCTTGATATCGAGGACGCATCGATGCAGACTTGAGCACCGGACTCCCAGAAGTCATTGTGACTGGAGGTGGAAGCACAGCGTTTTATTTAGAGTTATTATTAAAGTTCAGAGATATCACCTATTTATCTCAGGAGATTCCCTAAATGAAATGGTGGAAGTAAACATCACCATGGACATCTTAAAGGAACGAACACATTAAGGGTGTTTATTTGCTGAAGTTGGTATTGAATCTGTGTTATTTATATTGTGCAGTGTATATTTATAGTGTTTTAGTGTGGTTTATTTATAAACTAATTTCGAGAGGAATAACGTGCTTATGATCAACACGGCTGGCACCACATTAGCTCCATAATCTTCCCTATTAGATGATTACGGATGCATCATTAATAACCAGAGTTTTTCACTCCAGTTATCTTCGTCTTGAAGTTTCCCCCCTTCCACCCCTACATCCCACCCTTTTTTCCTTTAGGGCGACACAGTAGCCCAGTGGCTAGCACTGCTGCCTCACAGCAAGAACGCCGCTGGTCCAACTTCCTATCGGGCCGGTTGGTGTGTCCATGCGGAGTTTCCATGTTCACGTGGGTTTCCCCCGGGTTCCTCTCACCATCCAAAAACATACACCATAGCCAATCGACTAAACCAAATTATCACCCGAGACAACCTTAGTGTACACTTCTCACGGTGACAAGCAGGGGAGTTCTCGAGACCTACCTGAGCTCGATCTCCCCTCTCGCCCTTTTAACAGGAGGGCTCAAGGATCTTACGAGCTCAGGGCTCTCTTCAGGGACAGCATGCCAATTACACTTTATTGATCATCAGCTAAGTGTGAACTCTTGAAGTGAATATTTTGAAAAGGGGGAACACAATAACTCGCTGTATGAATGCTGTAATGTTTAAATAAGTTCCATTAAAAACACATGAAGGTCATGTGACCATACGGAAGAACACTGCATCTCATTCCTCACTGAACGCGTTCTCCAGAGTGTGTTCTTCTGAGGACACCCGGCAAGACCGGTCTCCACAAGAACACAAGACCATTCTCTGCGTTCTTGGAACTGAGAAACAGCCCGTGTCTACATCCATAAATGCATTGAGCTGCTGCCATGTGATTGGCTGATTAGACATTTGCGTTCAAGTGTACCTAATAAAGTGGCCGGTGAGTGTGTATATGCATTCATCTTAATAAATTTTTTTTTTTTTAAACGGCAATTGTCAAAAGAATCTAACAAATATTTAAAAACTTTACCAGCAAAACAGAAAAAATTAAACAAAAACCCTACTGAAAATGATGAATACACACAATAACACTACACTAACACCAGTGTGAATCTGTGTGTCAGCGCACAATATTATATTTCATTCTGCACACAAGCAACGTGCCATCACTAACACACACTCAAAACAGACACTCATTTAAATAAACGGCTGTGAATCGCTGTGTGTGTGTGTGTGTGTGTGCACTAGTGTAAATCAATCTCTAGTTAAACTGCAGCACAAAAATCAATAGAGCGGCGCAATCTGAGCTGAGATCAGACTGAACACTAATTGTGTGGCTGACGTTAATTGTCATTAAAGGGTTGAACTAGTTCCTCACTGCCAGACCAACACACACACACACACACACACACACACACACACACACACACACACACACACACACATTTTCTCAAGGCAAGCTTGTTTATGTGCACTGGACGGATCATTGCTACAGTTTACTGAGCTCACACACACACACACACACACACTGCAGTAAATCAGGCGTCTGTAAGTGGGACGGATCTATTTTAACGAGCTCTGGCCACTGATGACATCAGACAGCCTTCAGGAACAGGTAAAACACAACACACATAAACCAGCTTTACTAGAACACTGATTACACCTCTGTGTGTGTGTGTGTGTGCACACACACAAATACTCACAAAGACACACAGAAATATACACAATCTCACACAAACACACACACACAGAGCACACGCACACACACACACATTATTAAATGTGCAGGCATCCACAAATACACAAACACACAAACTCAGAGAAATACACACATGCCAAAAAAATACATACAAACACATAATTAAACTCACACACACACACACATACACACACAGAAATATGCATAGGGACACATAAAATTGATAGACACACACACACACACACACACACACACACACACAGTGAGAGCGCGCAGGTCTGAGATCAGTTTCAGGATGAAGTGCATCATTACAGTAATTCAGCAGCACAACGAGCGGCTCCTTCCTGCGGCCTACAGGACCTGATTGAGAACAATGCACTGTTTACGGCTCCTGAGGGCCCGGGGCCAGCTGTGTTTGCGGAGCGCCCCTTCATCAGCATTGTTATGTGTGGAGGCTTTTCTCACACACTCACACTCATTGTGTGCGAATGACGCCTTTAAAACTGCACACACACACACACACAGAGAAACATCTGCATTGACTATGTAAGACGCTGCTGTATGAGGAGGTGTGTCCTGTAGCTGGAGTTTGTTTCTGGAATATGGATATTCTTCATCTCGTGGTCTGCAGATGTGTTCATTCATTCATTCATTTTATTTTCAACTTAGTCCCTTTATTAATCAGGGGTCGCCACAGCGGAATGAACCGCCAACTATTCCAGTATTTGTTTTACGCAGTGGATGGCCTTCCAGCTGCAACCCAGTACTGGGAAACACCCATGCACACTCATTCTCACACACACACACACACTCATACACTACGGCCAGTTTAGTTGATCAGTTCCCCTATAGCGCATTTGTTTGGACTGTGGAGGAAACCGGAGCACCCGGAGGAAACCCACACCAACACGGGGAGAACATGCAAACTCCACACAGAAACACCAACTGACCCAGTGACCTTCTTGACACAGTGCTAAGTGAGGCACCGTGACACCCCAGATGT